GGGGCATCTCATTTCTATGAGACAATGCACCTGTTCGTTGGCATCTTTCACAATTTTTACAAAACAAGTATGCATTTTTAAATAAAGTTGCCCAATACAACCCACTATCTAAGACCTTCCTAGCTGTTCTTTTTGGCCCAAAATGACCACCACAAGCATAATTATGACAAAAATTCAAAATCGACATATGTTCACTTTCAGGGACACATCTCCTAATCACTTGATTAGAGCAAAATTTCCACAAATAAGGTTCATCCCAAACATAATATTTTGCCTCATACCTGATTTTATCATTCATCGACTTGCTAAGATAACTAGGCAAATTTCCAGTAACTAAGTAATTCACGATATCAGCATACCAAGGGACCATACCTTTTATTTGGAACAGTTGCTCATCAGGAAAAAGCTCAGAGATGGGTGAGGAGTCTTCATCTTTTACCAACCTGCTTAGATGGTCCGCCACCGAATTTTCAGCTCCCCTTCGATCCTTGATTTCTAAATCGAACTCTTGGAGCAAAAGTATCCACCTTATCAACCTCGGCTTTGACTCCTTTTTCACCAATAAGTATTTCAAAGTTGCATGATCAAAAAACACAATCACTTTAGAGCCAAGCAAATATGATCGAAATTTATCTAAAGCGAAAACAATTGCTAGTAGCTCCTTTTCGGTGGTTGTGTAATTGCATTGTGCAGCATTCAGCGTCCTCGAAGCATAGTAAATGATATGACTCTTCCCATCAATCCATTGACCTAGAACAGCTCCTACCGCATAGTTGCTTGCATCGCTCATGATTTCAAATGGCAAGTTCCAGTCCGGTGGTTGAATAACGGGTGCAATTGTCAGCAAATTCTTGAACTTATCAAATGCTTCCTTGCATTCATCCCCAAAATCGAAAGGCACATCTTTTTGAAGCAATTTGGACAATGGCAGGGCAATTTTTGAAAAGTCCTTAACAAACCTACGATAAAAACCTGCATGTCCAAGAAAAGCACACACTTCGCTAACATTTGTAGGGTAAGGTATGCTCACAATTAAATCCACCTTTGCCTTATCGACCTCTATGCCTCTTGCAGAGATAACATGTCCCAACACAATGCCTTCCTTTACCATAAAGTGGCATTTTTTATAATTCAAAACCAAATTAGTTTCGACACATCTATCCAGAATTTTACTCAAATTATCTAAACAATCATCAAATGAATCACCATAGACAGTAAAATCATCCATGAACACTTCAATGCACTTCTCAATAAAGTCAGAAAATATACAAATCATTTGGTTTGTGTTTTGATCTGGGAGGTCTTGGTGGGACCGATTGGTTAGTAAATCCTAAGCTCTTAGCCTGGTTCCAAGATGGTAATTACATCCATAAAACTTAATGTATAGATTTAATGAGTGTTAATGGATTACTCATCAAGTCATCAGTTTATTTCTAAATGTTGATCTCAATTTCTTATTTTGTAATCACAGGAACATGAAGCTCCTGTCATTTCCACTACTCCAACTATACCATATATATTTGAGTACTCCGGTGGAAGGTATCTTGTCTGCCAACCAATAATTTTATTCTCCCCTTGTTGTTAGTTTTAGATTTTTCTTGACTTAAATCAGTATTACTTGGTGTCAACTTTAGCAAAGTTCAAGTTCAAAATCTAGTTCCACTGACCTCAAATCTAGGAAAACATGTAACAGCTTATTGGGAGCCTACTGTAATTGCTACTATTATTATTCCTAGTGAGTAAGCTTTTGTAGTCCCTTTCTATTTGGCATGATTTTTCTAGACAACAGGCAAACCCTTTTCCATTTACTCTTTGTTTCTCATTTGCAGAGATATGTTCGACATGTTATAACTCTTTGTTCTGAACGGAGAGGGGAGCAACTGGAGTACTCATTTATTGATAGGTAACTTTTCTCCAAGTTCATATATGTTCCTATATCTCTCATGTATGTCATATAGATTTCCCTACCATAGCAGCCATATCTCATAATTATTAGCAACAAGCATTAAAAGAACATAGGTATAGTTCAAGTGTCTACTTATATGTGTCATTCTAGTAGATTGAGACCACTTGATTGTTGATCTGGCTAAAGCATCCATTAGATCTATGCATTTCTTCAGAAAAGTACCATCCCAAGGTAAAAGACCACACATGTCATTAGATGCAAGGATCACAATGTTTATAGCCCTCACTAGAAGAACCTGGAGTGCAATTCTCAAGAGATTTCTTGCTCCTTCAGTATCCTTCATATTCAAAGCTTTAACAGTAGGAATTATAGTGTGCTCCATGGTGTCTTTGTCTGGCATCACAACCTCAAACCCTTGCACATTAGATGAATAGAATGAAACTGATAAATATGACAGGGGATAACTTCTATTTCCTCTAAATGAATACCTTGATGAGAATGCCCTTAAGTAGCAGGGTGTTATAGTGTACACGGTTACATCTTCTACTTGGGTGAGGAGATCGGTGGCTGAGGTCTTCGGATGATTTTGTGTTCCTTGGCATGGGTTCTTATTAGTAACATGAGAGTTAAGTGCTCTTCTTCTCTTCAGGGTTTTCATTGGTTGGTGCAACCATTAACTCTGGTGCATGATGATTTGCACTACTAATGTAGTCAAGACATCAGGCGAATCCAAAGCACGTCGACGTTCACGAAGCAGTCCAATAGGGCCAATTCAATCAAGAATCATGCATTAGTTTCACATCTCATGATACGGGTTGGGTAATTGATATGGGTACGTCCTACCATGCTACTCCAAAGAAGGATTTCTTCACTTCTTACAAATCTAGTGACTTTGGTGGGGTGAAGATTCAAAATAATAGTACTTCAAAATTTATAGGGATAGATAATATACATGTAAAGACAAATGTTGGTTGCAAATTGATTCTCAAATATGTGAGACATGTTCTAGACCTTTAACTTAATCTAATTTTAGTAGGGACATTAGATGAACAAGGGTACTCTAGTCAATTTAGTAATGGGTGTTGGAAGCTTGCTGAAGGCTTTCTTGTGGTGGCAAGAGGAAGAAGGTAGTGTACTCTCTACAAGACGCAAGCACATGTTTGCAAGAGTGAGATGAACATAGTTGAGGAGGTGTCTACATATTTATGGTATTCACATCTTGACCACATGAATGAAAAAGACCTACAAATTCTCACAAAAAACCAATTCCTTCTTGGCATGACAGTTACGCCTTTAACTTAATTTGTTCAATATTTGGATGACAAACGATATAAAATTTCATTTCAAAAAAAAATATTTCAAAAGAAAATTTGATGTGTTGGAATTAATTCATTTGATGATGTGTAGTCCCTATGAAATTTAAAACTCTTGGTGATATACCCTATTTTGTTATTATCATAGATAGTGCACCTAGAAAAGTATGTGCATATGCAATGAAACATAAGGGTGATGCCTTGGAGTTATTCAAACAATTTTATACTAAAGTTGAAATGGAGGCGAGAAAACCTTTCAAATGTATTTCTACTAACAACAGTAGTGAATACATTAGCCCATTTGAAGACTATTGTAGGAACCATAGAATTAGACATGCATTTCATTTCTATGACACCACAACAAAATGGTGTAGCCGAAAGGATGAACCACACTATTATAGAAAAAATTAGATAAATGTCACATACACACTATAGAAAATATGACATATACCGATGGATCATGGGTATAATCCGTTAGTGTATCCCCAAATGAGCTACTCCAACGGCCAACTAGTGCGTCCAATTAGCCATGGTCGGCATAAACCTATACTAATGGAAAAATCCATTAGTATAGAGTGTAGATTCCTATACTGATGACTTTCTAAACCGTCGGTCAAGGCATCCGTTGGTATACATCATAGATATGGGGTATGGTGTATATTGCTATATATCCATCGGTATAGCTTTTCCGGGTCTAGTATCCTCTTGCATAATTTTAGTAAGATGCAAAGTATGAGAATTGACAAACAGATGTTGTGGCACATTGAGGGTTAATGTAGGACTTGGATTCATATTTTGGGGGACAACAATTTTAGAGAAATTAAGAATTTTGGTTTGGCTTCATGTCAACCTTAGTTTGGGACCTGTTTGGGAGGGTTAAAACTTTGGTTGAAATAAATTTATTTTTTTCGAGGTGGGCTCTACCTGTTCAGGAGTGCCTAATTTGGTTTTCAGTCAATCATTTAAAGGGATGTCCACTTTAGCTTCTTTGAATAGTTTATCCCAAGTGCTTTTTAACATTTAAACCAGTTAAGTTGAATCTTTACAGCTCAACCCTCCTAAATAGAACTAAAAGGAAACTTCAACAGACAACCCTAGTTCTAGATAAAAGACATGCATTATGGGATTCCTGTGCTTTTCACCAAATATGGCTTAAGAATTGTTCGGATGGAGCCCACCTCATAAAGCCATAAGCTACTATCTGAACTTAATAAAAAAATTCCTTGTTTTTGTCTTTTAATTGTTCAAATAATTAAATAATCAAAATTTGAAAGATAAAATGGTCTATCCAACTTCATTCAGCCATGGAGAAATTCAAAGCCTCCTTAAAATGCTATTCACTTACTCTCCATTTGGATATAAATACAAATACATTCAATGTAAATGCAAACATAGCTCATGTGTATGAACCATGAACCATACATATTTGTATTTGCATTCTTCTCAAACATAGTCTTAAAAGTAAAATAATAAACTTTTCAGTTCAGCATATTCAGCTGTTATCAAAAGCCCCTTAGTGATAAGCTTTTCAGGGTCTAATATTAGCAAACCATGCAAGACAATTGATTCTCCTTGAACAATTTACTGTAATCACTCTATTTTAGAGAAAGAGAGATAAGTTTTTTGTACCTATGAAATTGGTAAGAGTTTTTCCCTCATCACTTATTGGCCGGCCCATTTTCATCTAGTTGAACAATAATATTCTCCTTAGCTGACATATCCTACACCTCTAACATACGTGTGGGACCTCGAGGCTAGTGTTACATTGAAAACATGAAAGATGTGTAAAATGTATATGGATTATAATAACTCAATAAACCAACTAAGGATTTTTATGTCAAATTAAAGTATACAAAACTATTAAATACTTTTAGTAGGATGCATTTCTGAGTGTTCTAGTTTGGCCCTCATTGTTGGGCTCAGCTTAGGTAGTTTGCCCCTCATTATTGGACACACCCCCTTGTGGCTGATCTTCAACTTGCGTGAGAACTCAATGAAGCAATGTTCAATCTCTTGCACTTCTCCATATTAACCTGTAAGGTGTAATGCAAAGATGGGGTGACTAATATGCGAGACAAAATTACTATCTTCTTAGTGGAGCATCAAGTGGATTGCAAGACACCAACCACTTTATATATGTAGCTAATGCAAATTCATAATTCAGACTGGAAGCATCTGAGATGATGAAAACATGAATTATGATATCTGCTACTTGTATTAGAAGCAATCAAATCTCTTACTGTCACAATCAAGTGGATTACAAGACACCAACCACTTTATAAATGTAGCTAATGCAAATTCATAATTCAGACTGGAAGCATCTGAGATGATGAAAACATGAATTATGATATTTGCTACTTGTATTAGAGGCAATCAAATCTCTTACTGTCACATGTTAAAACTGCAATGCCAACAGAAAACTAGATTAAATAAGTAGCAAGTTCACCTTTGAAAAAAAAAAAAAACATAACGATTATTTATCCAAAAAAGTGGAGAACAAACATTTCCAGAAGGTGCCAATCACATCAACCAGATCTTTGTGTTTGTGTGGGTCTTTAGGTGGAGATGTAAAATAGGATCTTGTGTTTGTATTGCACAACTCTCATAATATGGATTCAAATATATCTAGAGCATATCATATTAGCACAATACTAAGGTCTCCACTACTCATGTGCATCTTAAATTGCAAAAATATTTTTAGGGAGAGGCAATGTGTACTTTATGTTATTTGATAAATTTATCTCCATCAGCCTTCTTGAATGGAAATGTGTCTACAAGGGTGTAGACAGGAAAGGATGTTTCGTATAAACACTTAATAGTGTTTGGAAGAATGGCATTTGCATATGTTTCAAAAGAAGATAGATCCAAGATTAATGATAAAGCTAAGAATGCATTTTCTTGGGACATGCAAATAAAAAGTTCAATTACATGTTATAGGATCTTGTTGAGAAGAAGATTGTTATAAGTTGAGATGTGTTCTTTCTTGAAGACCAAACCATTGAAAATATTGACAAGGTTAAGTAACCCTAATGATCTAATTGAGCTAGATTCATTCCCTCCTTAAGCAATGCATGATGAAGTAAGTGAAGAAAATGAAAATCAAGAAAATGAAGGTGATGGTGATCATATACAAGATGATGAATAGAAGGAGTTGCCCCTTAAGAGCCCCTAAATATGCTACTATTAAAAAGATCCACTAAAGAGAGGCAACCATTAAAGAAGTACCCACTTGAAGAATCTATTATGCTTATTGATGGAGGAACATGAAAAGCTATGAAGATATGCTATCTAGTGAATAGAAAGGTGAGTGGTTGAAAGTTATACATTAAAAATTGAATTCCTTGCATGAGAATCACATATATGGTTTGGTGAAGTTGCCTAAAGGCAAAAAATCACTTAATAACAACTAGTATTTAAATTGAAGATTGAAGACGAGAATTTATAATCAAGATATAAGTCAGGGCTAGTTGTGAAACGTTTTGAAAAGAAAAAGGGTGTTGACTTTGATGAGATCTTTTCTCTTGTAGTAAAAATGTCATTAATAAGTGTTATATTGGGATTGACTACAGTTTGGATTTAAAATTTGAACAACTAGATATGAAAATAACCTTTTTCTATGATGATTAGGATGAAGAAATTTACATAAACCAACCAGAAGCAAGGTTCAAATTTGTACAATGTATCGGACTATTTTGGCCAATACGTATACCTTTAAGGGGTCAACACAAGAAACGTTACAAAACCCTTTGTATTGTTCTTTTCATCATGCCAACCCTATATCATTGTCGTATCGGGGTGTATTGTAACCGTATTGTAGTTGTACTGAGGTGCATTGACCGATACAATATGACTTTCCTAGGCGAAAAATAAATTAAAAATCTTTGAGAAAGAAGGCTTTTAACTCTTTCCAAAAGCCTTTTTTCTCTTCCAAACTTACAAAATTGTGCCTATACATTTTTGGAACGCAAGATCTTAAAAAAAAAACAAAAGCAACCTCCAAAGCTTAAGAGTTATTTTTTGTTACATATTTATTTTTTTTATTTTTGTTATAATTTTTGGAATAAAAAACAAAATAATTGTTTGAATAAGAAATAAATAATTATTTAAAAATTACAAAAAAAAAATGTTTCATTAAATGACTATTGATGCATTTTTATGATTTATTGGAGTATTTATAGTGTTTCCATGCATTTTCATGTGTATCTTAATTTTTCGTCTAATTCCATGCATATCCAATGTGTATTTGAACCTTAACTAGAAGGATTCAAAGTAAAAGGAAAAGAGTCCATGGTGTTCAAGATAAGAAAAAATATGTATGGGTTAAAACAAGTTGCAAAGAAATGATATAAGAAATTTGATTCATTTGTGGTGGATCATGAGTACACAAAAACAACTTCAGACCATTACATGTTTCTTAAAAAATTTCCAGATGGTGTTTTTATTATCATTTTACTTTATGTTGATTGTTGGAAGGTATTAGAATCCATCATATGGATGGCCGAACCATGCTAAATGGTTGGGCAAATTTTCAAAAAAAAAAAAATTCTAACCCTTTTGGGAACCGATTTCCTAGTGAATTTGAAAACAGAATTTTCAAGATCGACTTTGCACTAAATCGGACCAAATTTGAAACCGAATCAAAAGGAGAAATTATACCTGATACGGATACTACAAGCGCATATCCCAATGTGGAAGTTTACACCCAAATCAGTCTTAAAACTAGCCTACACTGAAGATGGTGCAGTGTGTAGGTGAAGCCGGTTCAACAACACTATTTTCAGCACAACTACAATCCAACTTGGTTGAATTGAATGAGGTAAGTGAGCTTGATTTTCTTTAACATTTTTCTTGTAAAAACTAGAAGAAAAAATTATCAAAAATCAGTTCTTGAAAGTCTAGGTCATGATAGGATTTCTTGGGAGACAAAAGGATGCAAACATATACAACTATTGAATTAGAACAAATCAAATAGCTAATTAACAGGAACTTCAACACACAACAATTAACGATTCAAACTATGCGCTGAGATTTAAGTATTACAATATTTCATCAAACCAAACCGGAACCTGATCTTCAAAGAAGAGGTAGACTAGAATGAGATTAAACACATGGACATATGATCAACAACATTCATCAATTTGTAAAATTGACTTAAAAGAAATACTAAGATAACATTATTAGCATTTGGTAATATTCATTAGAGAATGACAGAAAGATTATAGATAGCCTCATCTACAATATTCAACAAATCAGGGGGTGATTTTAGGGGAAAATAAAGAAAACAACGATGATCCAATCTCTAGGACTAACAGGTTTGAATTAAATCTAACACCATTAACACCTAACACGAAACAAAGATCGGATTGGGTTGGGGATGAAAGTTTACAAGAGTGAGTTCGATGGAACCTACTCCATCGACCTTTTCCCAAACCTCAAATCTTCACTGCCAAAGAAAAAAAAAATAGAGGTTCAGTTCAAATTACCTAGGTGATGTCCCGACCGATTGTTAGATGATGTGAATTAGAGATTCAGATAAGCTTGATTTACTCCATGTATACGAATCAAGGACTATGATGCACAATGATGGAATGGTTCGAATCTCCTTCCACCTTCTGTGCACAAAGGACCTAATGAACATTTTTGTGACTTGCCAACATTGGAAGACGGAATACTTAAGGAAATTTATAGGAAACAAATGAGAGGAGAGAAATGTTGCTGGACTTTCTCACCGTGTGATTGCCCTTTCTCGTAGAGCAAGAGATGAATAGTATGATGTAGGAAGAGAATGGTGAGGGAAAAGAATGAAAAACGAAGGGAATGAGAGAAACAAGGAGAATAGTTTTAATGGGAACCAAAATTGAGAGTTGACGCCGTTGTTCAATGAAGAAGACGATGAACAGTGGTGGTCAATAGTAAAAATCTGTCCCTTAACCCTAATCACTCGATTTTATTTATAACAGGGGGCAAAGACAAATTTGTAATTTTTGGGAAAACCAGGGGCAACTTTATGATTTTATGAATTCTAGTCAAAACTGGTCCAAGGGGTGTCAAACCAGGGTTCTGGTTCAATGATGGGGGGTTTTGGGTCAATGGTCAAAGGGTTCAGATGGATTCTGGACACAGAGAGGGGTTTTGCATGTACAGGCTAATAAGATTGGTTAAAATGGAATCTTTTTGGATAAATGGATATATAGGGGTATTTTTTGTTGAAATTTCACAAGATGGGTTTTTTGAACTTTCAGAGTTGATTGGTAGGGTTGGATTGTCCCAAAAGGTCCTAGATCATGCAAATCTAGAAGGGTGATGGTTCAGTCAATCTAGAGCTTCAAAATATAATTATTGTGCAATGAAGAAGCAAACAAAGGTATTTTGGACTAAAATTTTATAGGTGGTATTTCACGGTGTCCAGGATTTGGTGGTATTTGGGGCTGAAAATTTATAGGGGCATTTCAATGTGTTCAGGATCTGGTGGTAATGTCTGATTGGTTCAGGGGGGTCAAGATTATAGGAATTTGGGTCAACGAGAGGACCTATAATGAAATCTTGGTTTGATGGAGGGGTAAATGGGAGGATCTTTGGGTTGAAACTTTTATGGATAGGTGTTTTAGTGTGTCTAAGGCTCAATTGTATGGTCTGATTTGCTCAAATGTGTTTGGATCAAGGGGATCTGGGTTATGGGTGTTTTAGGCTACCGAGAGGGGTCAAAATGGAATCTTTGCTTGATGAGAGGGTAAACGGAGGATTTTTGAGTTGAGATTTGCTAGGTAGGTATTTTGGAAGGTATTGAATCTAATGGTTGTATCTGATATGGGGCTTGAGGTGTAAATGGGGTTTGATCGGGGCCATTGGATTGGTATTGGGTAGTTTTAACGATCGATTTGAGGGCTTTTAGGCTAAAAGTTTGTTTGGGTATTTGGGTGCTTCGGAGTGATTAGAAGGATATGATTGGGCATTCGAAGTGAATTGAGGGTTTAGGTGACAGACCAAACAAAAATCAAGTGCTAATACCAACTTAAAGTGTTCTTTTTGCAATAAGTAATGGGCCCCACAGTAAAGCTAACTTCATTTACCTAAGTAAAACTTACATATCTCTTAGGTGGGCAAGTAACTTTCCCACATGGGAGAAAATTTATAAAGCATAATGGATCAAGTTTACCATTTCAACATTGACTTTTTATGGGTAAAAAAATCATTATATTACTTAATTACTTGGGAATCAAAAGAACATGGGTAAGTGTTACACATGAAACATTTTACCCGGGTAAGTAAGAAATTCCTAAACGAACGAGGCCCTAGGCAAAGTTAATAAAAACATGTTAGTAGGGATGACAATTTTGACCCCAACCCATGTGACCCATTTCATTGGTGGGTCAATATGGGTCGAGTGACCCATTAGGGTTGAGGGAAAATGGTGAGGGTGGGCTAAGGGTACCCATTAGAATACCCTCCCATCGTAGTCTCAAAGCTCCTTTGCTTCAAGAAAGACATGAAATAGGACAAAGCTAAGCCAGGTAGTCTTTAAGCAATAAATTAAAAATGGTAGATGTGGAGCAATACAAGCTAAAGAGCATGGTGAACAAGCAAGATGACCTCAACTGAGCCAAAATATAATAGAAGCTTAGTTGAAAAGCTCCACTTGGTCAAACCAAATTCAACACTTATAACAAAATTGTCTTAGTTGATTGCATACTTTTGCTACCCCGTTGTTACTCTCGGCTCCATTGAAAACAGAAACACAACACAAAGGATTCATCTCAAAAAAATCTAATCAATCCTTTAAACAATTCAAACAACAAAAGAAATGAGAACAAGAAAGGAAAATATTTTGACAAATAGAATGGAAACCCCGATCAATCCTATCTCATGTCATTGGAATTTGGAATCTCTTGAAATGCTGCAAATGAAGAAAACCAATCCCGTAGACATCTTCATTGGCAGAGAGAAATCGTAAATGGGAGAAGATCTCGAATGATACTAAGGGTAAAATTGGTATTTTAAAAAATAAATGCATTAATTTAACATTTTTATTTTTGTTTAGGAAGATAGCGAAGGTAGGTAATTGCACATTTTATCAGAACTGTAAGGGATGTTTTTATTATAATCAAAACACGGGAGATTTTTATCAGAACTATATGGACAGGCTCAATGCAAATTTCTGAATTCCACTGTAGAGCTATAAAAGTTTAAAATGTCAATAACCCCCACTCCATAAACCAATGCATTGACATCAATTCTGAATTGGCACCCACCCCAACTATACTTTGGGCCTAAAAATTCTGACCCTGGGCTGAACCGTTATTCTCCCAAAACAAGGAGACATGTTACAATGCCGTTGGTTGCTCGGCCCATATTGTTAACTTCTTGTTAGGAGTGCAAATGGATTGGATCATGATCCGATCTGATCCGATATATATTTTATACATATATATATATGTTATTTATTTATTTATGAATATACATTTTATATTATATTTTTATAACTTTGTTATATTATTTATTTTTTTATAAAAAACATGTATATATGAAGAAAATAATTAAAAAATATTTGTATTTTTGTTTTTACTTTATTTAAATCAGTATATTTTATTTTTCTTTTAATAATTTATTAATTTTTAAAGAAAATAAGTCGAATTGGATCAAATCCAAAGATCCGATTTATTGATAAGATTTGAATTCAAATCGAGTCTTATCAGATCCGATCGGATTGGATAGTGTCGAATCGTATTTGAATCCGATTTGATCCGTTTGCATCCCTACTTATTGTACTCAACTCATCTAGGAATGTCCACGGTTCGGTTAATCAAACCATGGGCATATTTTGCAAACCGAACTGGTGGTACTAATTTTTCCATTTCTCTAAACTGAAACCGAACCAGTACCATCGGTTAACCTATTCGTCGATTTCGGTTTTTTTTCGGTTCGATTCTCTGATTTTTTTATTTTTTAATTTATAATATATATTATATAAATATATGTATAATATTATATTATAAATAATAAATGATATATAATATATTTATAAATAGATTAATATAAATATAATATAAACATATATTTATATATAATATATAGAGAATATATGATATATATTAAAAATATATATAAAATATACATATAAATATATATACCGATCGGTTTAATTAACCGCAGATTTTTTTATAGATCAATCAAAAACCGAACGGATCTTTCGATTTTTAAAAAATTTCAAAACGAAACCGAACCGATAGATTCGATTAACCGTATTTTGCGGTTCGGTTTTCTCGATTCGGTTCGATTTTTCATGGACACCATCCGGACCCTGGGAGAGGTGGTGGATGGGGACCGTGGAGTGGCCGGATGGGGCGGGCGGATCAGGATAATTACAGAGCCCACTTCGGTTAGTTGGTGCACAACTCACAAAAACCCTAAAAGGTTTACGTTCTTGGCAGAACACTAGATTCCAGCCTGCCTCTGGAGGTGTTCGTCTAATCGCCCTGTCATGGAAGAAGCTCCTGGGGAGGTGGAAACGAAAGTTTCGGAGGAAGCACCTTCGTCGAACGGAAGCGAAGTTCATTTAAAACCAGAGGAACTCGTCGCTAAAGCAATAGCTCCAGTTAAGAGAGAATTCCTTCGACCTCCACCTCTCAGGCCTTGCTCTAATGATGCTGTCAATGGAGAACCAGTTGTAAACAAGAAGGTAGTCCCTTCGAACGTGGTAACAGGGAAGAAATCAAGGAGGCAATTGAAGAGGGAACGCCAACAGGTATGCTTACTTCTAATTTATAGCTCCTTTCCGATTCTTGTATATTAGAATTCACTAAAGTTCCTTGTTTGCTTTATCTCAGTTTTATCCTACCAGAAGTCTTCACCGTTTAAAGTACTTACATTGGTTCTCAGTTTATAATTTGTTGGCCGCATTAATTACTGCTTACGAGTTTGTAGCTGTATCACTTAGTTCTTCATTCATTCCTGATATAAGTGTTTTAGGCGCTATTATGGCCAGTACTTAACGAGCGAATGCTTGTCGTCCTTGAACGTTCTGAAATTTTACTGCTCAATAACAAGATCGGTATACATTGTTTAACTTAACAATGATAATTTGCACTTTGAACAATAGCAGAATAGAAGGTGCGTTTTAGTTGTTTGACTGAAACAAGACATCTTAACGGAGCTTAAGTATTTAAATCATTCCCTACTGTTATGAAGGCTCTTGCATTCTTCTCCATAAATAGTTGTACTACTCTTTAATTTTCCTTTTTCGTTTCAAATATATAATAGCGGCGCTTTTTTTCCTCTCTCCAATAGTTCTTACTCACAAAACTGGTCAAAAAACTTGCAGGAACGAAAATCTGCATCACATATCTGTCCTGAGGTAGCAAAGACTGGTAATGTGAGCTCATGTCGTTTTGGAGGTAATTGCCGCTTCAGCCACGATGTGGAAGCATTCAAAGCTCAGGTATTGTGACGCTTGTATACCATACATTCCACCTTTTGATAAGCCCAAAAATTCCTTATTGAATTAATATTCTCCGAGTGCCAAATAAAAATTAATATTCTCACATGCATTATTCTGCCTTTATGATGGATAAAATGCTCTCAATTGCAGAAGCCGGCTGATCTAGATGGAGATTGCCCTTTCTCTGCCCTTGAAGGGCCATGTCCTTATGGATTGGCCTGTAGATTCTCAAGTACGCATAAGGATGGCTTTCCTGCGGACTCACTGAATGCACAGAAGAAAAGTTCTGAAATAAATGGGCTGAGCAAAGATCTTCAGAAACTTTTGTGGAAAAACAAAGTCAACTTCCCCATGGCAGATGCACAGCTCAAACTCCTCGGTCTTCTGGTATGAACAAATTGTTTATCTGTAACAAAGCGGGGCTCCATAATTCATTTCACTTTTGTATCTTATGTATGATAATTGTTCTATTGTAGCATTTCTGAAATAATCTTACTTTGGTAACCAAAAGGATCTCTTTGGAATTCTTATAACTCTTTACTTGATTTTCTAATTACATCTGTACTTCCTATAATCATTGGCATTAACTTTTAAGTCTTAGTCACTTTTCACCAAGTTTCGTTTTTAATGGCCCATCTTTCTTTTTTATTTTTGTGTTCCTGCAAATATTTGTTCTTCAGAATGTTGCTATTTTTAATCTTTATGCATGGAAAACAGTTCCCAAGGTTGTGTTTGGCATGCTTTTGGAAAATTAATTTCAATGAATTCTGTGGTTCTAAGAATCACTTTTGAGTTTGGATTATGGAATTTGCTGGAACTAATTCTTTTTCGGGCTAAAAACACACTATATGAATTGATTCTTTGGATCTAGGAAGTTAGCTTCAAAAAGAATCATTTTTGGCTCAAAACTCATTCTTTAGATAGTGATTCTTTGGAGCAAAATTTTAACCAAACATAGCCTAGAAGTCTTCACATTATCATTCAAGAGTTTTATTAAAAAAGGCCATATTTCTGGAAGATGAGACATCAATCTCCATAATCAGATGGCCCTTCGATACTTGATTTAGGCTGTGTATTTTATTTATACTGGTGCATTATAAGTTTTGTCTGAAACACCCTCCTTTTCTAATACCAAAAAAACCCTTTTTCTAGATTGTGATTTCTCACACTGAATTCCTGGAAAGGTCCCAAAATGATTGGTTGGTTTTCACTTTTTGATAAATGTCAACTGCAGGGGAATGGCAATGCTAAGAAAAAAAATCTGGAACCACACAAGGAGGAAGGTGATCAAGCTGTTCTTAATGGGTCTCATATTGGTGAAAATAATGATGGCGAAATAGCTTATGATTCTGTTGAAAAAGTAGATTGCCCTCAAAGAGCTAAGGAGGTGGAGGACCATGTGGGGGATTCAATTGCACTTGATCTGCGGCCATCAAAGAAAGCTAAAACTCCACTCATTGAAAAATGTTGCTCCAGTGAAGTAGAAAGTAGTGGTAATTTGCTTTTCACTGAAATGCTCTTGATAGCTCTATTTATTAACATTTTGCTGAGTTTTTTAGTGTATCTGATCTTGGTTGTATTGCAACAGGCTTGAATCTCCAGGAAAAAGAATTTGAGAGAAGCCTCATACAGGCCGAATTAGAAACCACACCTTCTGATAATTGTCTTGCAGAAACTGATATGTGCTTGAAAGCACATCCACGTGAAAAGAAACTTATTGATTTCAGAGGAAAGCTGTATCTTGCACCTCTAACCACTGTTGGGAACCTTCCTTTCAGAAGGGTCTGCAAGATGTTAGGGGCAGATATAACATGTGGGGAAATGGCTATGTGTACAAATCTCCTGCAGGTTTATTTGTCTGCACTTATCAGTTTTACCATCTCAACAATGCAACTCTTCTTCAAAGTTTTTGGTGAACTTTGTAAAGTTTGAATGAGAACTTCTGCTGAACTTATAGAGACTCTTAATATTATCTAGGATTTACCTTTCTGTATATAGTATGGGTCACTCACAAGGGATCATGGAAAAGAATAAGGTCTTCTGCTGAGCTTTCTCCTTGATTAGTTTAATAATCAATATGAGTCTTTCCAATAAAAAAAAAATCAATGAGTCATGATCATGACCACTTAACCTACACTTGATATAGGGCTTAATCATTTCTTATTACTACTGCTTCCACTACTACTATTTGTGCTGTTGCTAACTTAGTTTCATCTGTGCACAAATTCATTCCTCTTGTAAAATCACAATGAGTTTAGAACTTTTTAAAGTTATTTTATATGCCATGCCCTAGATCAGGGTAGAGTCAGACATCCTTATGAATCCAGGATCCAGTTACTAGCAGTTGGCTATTTTGTCTTATTCTCAAGTTATGTACACAACTGTAGTGTTCAGAAGATAGCTTTGCAGCAACTATGGTTATAGAAATTAGAATGACAAGTAGATTTTTGTTTGGTTTTAATCTGGACAAGTATATTGCCTTTGTGTATGAATTCCTCAAAATTTGTTATATAACATAGCTCTTACAAGTTATTATTTTTCAAGTTCTTGTATGATTTGGTATGTTGTTCTCTAACATAGAGTAGTGGAAATAGGGTCAAGCTTCAGAATGGGCATTGTTGAGGCGACATTCTTCTGAGGATCTATTTGGTGTACAAATATGTGGGGCATACCCAGACACTGTAGCACGTACTGTTGAACTCATCAATCGTGAATGTACTGTTGATTTTATTGACATAAATATGGGGTGCCCTATTGATATTGTTGTTAACAAGGGTGCTGGATCTGCTCTTCTTACAAAACCTTTGAGGATGAAGAATGTTATACAAGCTACTTCTGGCACAGTGGACAAACCTATAACTGTAAAGGTGCTTCTTTCCCTTTGATTTGTTAATCTAAACAAAAAATCATCTGCATATCATGCCTCATTCTCTTAAGCACTGATCCACATCTCTCCAAACACCAACAGAATGCCTGTTCTTCCTGTATCTATTGTTATTTGAAAATGGACTATGCTCAGTTTTTGTTCTTGTTGTGGTTTGAATATATACTTCATTAACTGTGTTTTATTACTCTCAAGTTTTTCTTATCATCATTCCTGTTTTCATTTTAATCCTTTGTCATCATGGTTCAAATGGAATTTTACTGCTTTAGGTCCGGACAGGTTATTTTGAAGGGAGAAATCGCATTGATTCATTAATAGCAGATATTGGCAATTGGGGTGCCGCTGCAATAACAATTCATGGTCGCTCACGTCAGCAACGCTATAGCAAGCTTGCTGATTGGGATTATATATACCAATGTGCAAGAAAGGCCCCTGATGTTTTGCATGTTTTGGGAAATGGAGATGTATTTTCATACTTGGACTGGAACAAGCACATATCCGATTGTGCTGAACTTTCAACATGTATAGTTGCTCGAGGATCACTTATTAAGGTTTGTATGCCTTGATTTATTTATATCATAATGCTAAAGAAATTTTATTATTATTATTATTATTATTTTTTGGTGTGTTTGTGGTGTTAGATGCGTTTGTAATCTGTCATCATCGTCATAATCATCTAAGCCTTATCCCTACTATATGGGGCCAGCTATATGATTCCTGTTTTGCCGTTTCTGTTCTGTTCAATGCCATATCCATTGTTAAATTATGAGCATTTAAATCACTTCTTACTACTTAAGTCCATATCCTTTTTGGTCGGCCCCTTGTCCTTCTAGTCCCTTCAACCTTCAACTGATCACATCTTACAGGTTCTGTAGTCCCATGAGCAAACCATCTTAGTCTACTATCCCATTTTATCACCTATTGGAGCTAATCCTAAGTTTCTTCAAATGACTTTATTTCTGACTCTATCCTTTCTAGTTTTTCCACTCTTCCATTGTTGGCATTCACAAATGCATTTATGTCACTTATTTTTTGGAGATGTTCTTGACTATCCAACACTTTGCTCCATACAACAATACTAGCCTTACAACTGTCTTATAGAACCTTCCTTTTAACCTATGTGGTATTTGCTTATAATATAAGACTCCAGATGTGCCCCTCCATTCTGCCTATCCTATAATTCTATGGGCAACATTCTCATCAATTTCTCCCTTGTTATGGATTATGGTTTCCTGCATTAAATTATTGTTTTCTGCATATGTATTTGTTTGTCTTGGAAGTTTCTTCTTGTTTCATTGTAAAATGGTTTAATGACCTTGCAATAATAAGCTTTCTGCTATGCAGCCCTGGATATTTACTGAAATCAAGGAACAGAGACATTGGGACATCAGTTCTGGTGAGCGATTGGATATTTTAAGGGATTTTATACATTTTGGCCTGGAGCATTGGGGTTCTGACACCAAAGGTATGTCCTGATTACCTTCTAACATTTTGGCCATTTCTAGCAGTTTAGTCAGAGCTGCAGGTGAAGCTCTAGGCTTGGATTAGTCTTTAACAAGTTGACCAACTGAGAAATTATTGTACCTCAATAATAGGTTATTGAAAGCTTCTATCAATAAAGAAAGTGGCTTCTATCAACGATGGTCTTTTAGCCATCACCATAAGGTGATCTATCATCTATCACTATTGGCAAAGTTAAGATCCTTTAGCTTCAATAGTGGCTGTTGTGGATGCTTTTATTGGAAAGAAATACAGCCGCAAACAGCAGCAGTAATGGACAACAACAGTAATGGACAACAGCAGCAATGGGCAATTAATTCACTGTTTAATGGACAACAACAGTAATGGGCGATTAACTCAGTGTTATCTTATCTCTTAGCTAGATTCAGTGTTCCTATTAATTAGGCAGTAGCATTATTATTATTTAAAGATAAATGTTGTTAGGAAGTGTTCCTCAACTCCCCGTTAACCAACTTGTGATGAGATCCTATTCACGGGCCCCATAACAATTTGGTATCAGAGCAGGGCGTCATGGGTGACTTTGAGCAATTGAAGACTAGGGTTCATGATCTGGAGCACAAACTCGTGGAAAACAACAAGGAGGTATGCGAGATCAAGGACGACGTCCGAGAGTTGAGGCACTTGATGGAGTTATATTTTTCCAGCAAGGAAAAGAGTTCAGAAGGGGCTGCAATCACAGATGGCCGCCGACCAGACATGGCAGAATCGTCCGGCGAGCAGTAGGTCGTGGCCCAGGGAACCGCGATCGTTCCCAAATACAGCAGGCTGGAATTTCCTTCCTATAATGGAGCTGGAGGTCCTTTGGGATGGCTGTACAGATGTGAGCAGTTCTTCCGCAACCAACGGACAAAGGACAGGGACAAGGTAGGCTTAGTCGCATTCCACATGACAGAGGAGGCGCAACTCTGGTTTTATAAATTGGAGCAGGAGGAACCTGGGCTCAGTTGGACCCAATTCAAATCTTACTGCCTTCTCAGATTTGGGCCCCCATTAACAAGCAATCCATTAGGCGAACTAATCAACCTCAAACAGACTAGAACTGTGGCTGAGTATCAACGTCAGTTTCAGACCCTCCTTGCAAGAGCATCTTTGGTACGACCAGACCAACAGGTTGACATGTTCACCGCAGGGTTAGCGGAAACTTTGAGGGTGGATGTGGAGATGCAAAATCCTGATAGGCCCCCAATTAACCTTACGTATGCTAGGAAAAGGGAAAGGGTAGCAATCGGTTAAGGGGGGAAATAATTGAACACATGGGGCTTGCCAGCTAGGCATTTATAGAGGAAGTCAGAAGGGGAATAAGAAGAGTCTTGGGGCATTTATAGCTATGTCAGTTATGAATAAGAAGAGTGTTGGACATTTATAACTAGGCCAGCTGGGCATTTATGGGGGGGGGAAGTCAGTTATGCTGTCAGAAGAATATAAGAAGGGTCTTTGGGGGATGGGGAAGGCAGGCTTTGGTTGAGTGCAGAATACTGTGAGTGATTGGGAGAGTCGGCGGTCTCTCGAAGAACCGACCAACTGTTACTGTTCTTTTCTTCTGAATGAATACCAGTTTCTTTGTTGATATTCGAGTTGTGTGAATTCTGCTGTGAGTCTGAGAATTGTGTGTAAAGTTTCTGGGACCTAACAGTGGTATCAGAGCTCGTCTTTCCTCGKCCATGGTGACAATTAAGGAAGTGGCATCGCAGGTGGAGGGTTTCGAAGAATGCTTAACTTCTCTGCATTCTGAATTTCGTGTGGAGATGGATGGCTTACGCAATGAGATTCAGCGACTCAATCCAGAAAAGGTAGCAGCTGGACTTTCAAAGATCTCGTCTCTGGAAAGCTCGGTACAATCTCTGGAAGGAGGCGTTCAAGATCTGGTGAGACGTTTTGATCTGTTGCTTCAGCAACAGGCCTATTCAGCTCCTTTGTCCACGACTGACATTGCTCCTCCTTTAGTCGCATCGAGTCGTGTGGCTGACAAAGGGAAGAGTGCGGCATTTCCGACGTCTTCCTC